TTGGCTCCCCAATCAACACTCTTGGTACCAGCAGCCAGGAAATCAGAAGATTAATTGCATTGGGAAAGTCTGCTCTAAGAGACCTTTCTAGAATTCTGAAGAGCAATTAAGTAAGTCTGGAGGACAAGGTACACCTGATCCAGGCCATAGGTTTATAGTTCCTTGCTAAGTTTCAGAAAGATTGATAATTACTAGGGATAACAGAAGGAGAACTGATGCTTTTGAGCTGCAGTGCTGAAGAAGAGTATTGAATGGATGACTAGGAGAACAAAGAGGTTCATCCTAGTGAGGGTGAAACCAGGCTGCTTCATGTAGGCAAGGATTCTGTAGCTTCATCTGAAATACTTTGGACATGTTACAAGGAGTGACAAGGCCTTGGAGATGGACATCATGCTTGGGAGGGTGGAGGGACAGCACAAGAGAGGAAGACCCTCAACGAGATGGATTGATTCAGTGACTGGAGTAATGGGGATAGGTGTGTCAGAGACAATAAGTTGGCACAGGATAGAGCAGGTTTCAGAGATGTTGTATATTGGGTTGCTATGAGTTATATAATAACAAGATATAATAACAATAACAATAACAACAATCAATGCTCAAGATATCAGCAGTCAAGAAATCAAAAGATTTATTGCTCTGAGAAAATCAGCTGTCAAGGAACTCTTTACAATACTAAGGAGTAAGGAAATCAGTTTAAAAACTAAGGTGCACCTGCTCCAATCCATAATGCTTTCAATTGTTTCCATCTTAATATTGGAAAATGAAAGAAGACGAAACAAGCATAGGTGTCTTTGAATTATGGTGCTGGCAAAGAATACTCATGGACTCAAAGAATATCTCATGGACTGCCAAAAGTACAAACAAGTATGTCTTGGAGTATACCACTGTGCTCCTTGGAGGCAAAGATGATGAAAGTCACCTTCAAAGCATATAACAACAACAACAAAGCCTGTGATTATAATACTGTTTGGAAATGTATTATCTTTGTTTTGTTTATGAGAGAAGATAAATGCAAGATGTCTGAAGGACAAACTGTTTTAAAGTGTAAAAGATTTTAAATAAGCAAGCAAGAGAAGCAGAGATGATTGAAAAGATCTATCAAGTCATATGAAAATCCCACAGGAGGAAGACATAAAGGAGAGGGACCTTTCCTTCAAAGACAACAGAGAAAAAATCTCTCTCCCTAGATCTGGCATTCCAATTCTGACTTCTTATCCTCTAAACTGTGAGAAAATAAATGCCTGTTTGTTAAAGCTACTCATTTGTGGTATTTCTATTGTGAGAACACTAGATATCTATGATGTCCATGTGCAGTTGCAAAACTGTAACTTGGTAATGTTAGTGACTAACAGTCTTCTGATCGATGGAGCAACCTATGACAGATACTGTTGAAAGTTTTGTTTCCCCACCTCTTCCCAGAAAAGGAGATGATTACAATTTTCATCCTCTTAAGAGAAAATGAAAGCTGAAACAAAGAATTACATTTAGAGACTTGGAAAATATGAGAGAGGTAAAGAAGGGTGGGGATTCCAGCGAACATTTTCAATAAGCTAGTAAAAGAAATTTCCTCTAAAGGAAAACTGCCAATGAAACTACAAAATATGTGTGACCCTATCGGGATTTCAAGTATTTGAAAACCAGATGATGTTGTTGTTTCTCATTTGGTTTCCCCTTTTCATAAAAAAAAAAAAAGGAAACAACAAAGGGAGGAACTCTAATATTGTAACTCTACTCAAATGTTTCCTAACTTTTAAAAATAAGCTTTTTCCTCAGGTCAAGGTGTTTAATAAAATCATATTGCTCTTTCAACTTTCTTTCTGTACACTATGAAATATAGGACTATTCATGGTTTAAATAATATCCAGAATGAAGTTTTCAAAAAATATTAGACGGAGGAGGGAGACAAGTGGATTTCATTTTCACGTGAGTTTTATTAAGTGCATTCACAGTCAAGCTTCAAGACAATCCAGTACTAATGGTGCAGCTCTCATTTCAATGTACATGAAAAGTGAGGGTTAGGTGACTTATGTTTGTTATTCAAGGTCATAAGAGCTAGGAAAGATTAATTAGGGTGACTCATTCTGATTTGCGCACAGCTTTGTTGTTGTTGCTAGGATGCACCAAGCCAGCTCTAACTCATAACAATCCTGTAGTGGCTTAGTGGTTGTACTGCCAACACAAAACCATGTGGTTCAAATCCACAAACGTTTTGCAGAAGAAATATGGGCAATCTCTTCTCGTATAATTAAAATACCTCTAAAAACCCACTGATGGGTCAGTTATGGATTGGTTACCACTGGACAGTGCACAATAACAACAGCTTGTCTGAAGCTTTGCCCCAGCCTGCCCCATCCTCAAGATATCGGAGATCCTCAGTCCTGTTGTTTACAGTGCTAATCTAATTTAACACTGAAAATCCTGTATTTTGGGAAACCTTTCAAGTCTCTAGCAGTGATGGTTGATCATCACAATGACTGTTTTTAATGAGTTTTCTCTGTTACTAGGAAATTTTTATTATACTTAATTACTAAATAGAAAGTTGGAGCCTTGAATACATCTAGAGAAGCCTTAGAAGAAAGGACTGACAATCTACTTTTCAATTCTGACGCTGAAAATCCTTTCGGTAACACTCATCAGAAAAAAAAAAGTATTCACTCTAAGCTCGTTGTTTTCCAGACCATTCTCAAGACATAGTTAAATCACTTTGGAAAAAAATAGATGGTTCTACTAAGTTTTTACAGTAATGAGAAATATTTGGTCCAAAGAATTTTAACTGAGGATCTGCCCCTTACTTTTAACGTGTTGCTGTTGTTCAGTGCTGTAGAGTTGCAGATGACTCATAGCAACCCTGAACGAAAGACCTGAACCCTTGTGTAACTTTTACTGTTTTTCTAAGATCATAGAGGCAAGCTATTTCTGAAGTTGACACCACTTCTTCTTCCAAGTCTTTTTTAATCTGGGAGCGCCACCAAACACTGTCCACCATGAGTAGTCATTGACATATCAGTATCATAGTGTTCAGCATCACACGAACTTTGAGTTACCTTGTACAGTAAATGGACAGAGCAGTGCCATATCAAATAGAAGAATGACCAAAAACAATTAAAATCAGGCCTGAAGTCCACAGATTAAAATCACCCACCTTTAGCTTGGTAACATAACTGTCTACACTAGGCCAACAGAGCTCTCTCTATGGCGCACTGCAATTCTCTGAACAACAGATCTAACCCTTGCCCTATCCTATGCCATCCCCATGATCTGAGACATGCTGGAGCCCATTTTTACAGTCACTGTTATCTATCCATCGTGTTGAAGATCTTCTTTTCTTCTCTGACCTTCCACTTCTCTCAGCATGATGTCATTTCCCAAGGATTGGAACCTTTACTGTTGTTTTTGTTAAGTGCCATTGAGTCATAGAAGACTCATAATGACACTACGAACAAAAGACCTGAACACTGGTATAACTTTCATTGTTTCTCTAAGTTTTAATGTGTAGTAGAAAATAAATGTCAAGATTCTTGCAAATAGCTCTTTTTCTGTCACTATCTTTGGACAAGTTCCTTCCTTAGGACTTTACTTAGTCCTAGTGTGAAAAGATGTTTCTGGACCAGAAGATTTATAATTCTATAAATAATCTAATAGCTTTTTAACCATCTTATAGCTTTATCTTTTTAGGTCTCAGGTCATATTCTATAAATCTATTCTATAGCTTTATAAACTGTGTCATAGCTTTATATTCTAGGTCTCAGGCCACAGTTAAAAGACAAATAAAACCCGAAAACAAACAAACAAAAAATCCTGTTGTTGACAAGTGTTATGTGATAAACATAATTAGATTGTAGACTGGGAACTAAGGAAAGTTGAGAAATAAGCACTTTTTGTCCTCAAAAATTTATTCCTCATCTCAGCAATTTCTGTTACCATTTAAACCCTCTTACCAGCCCTCAAGTCAACCTAAGATCCATTATGTTCTCTTTTCTTTCCAACTAGTAAGTCAAGATAAGCCAATTCACAACCAGATCATCAGTGGTACTGATCCAGAACAATCTATGAGAAAATTTTCTTACAGTTATTTCAACCAAAGCAAAAGGTAAACTCTGTTATTGTTGTTGTTGTTGTTTAATGCCGTTGAGTCGTAGATGACTCATAGCGACCCTATGAACAAACAGCCTGAGCACTGTTCATACATAGAGTTTCTGGAGGCAAGCCATTTCAGAAGTGGATGCCGCCCCTGCTTTCAGGCTTGATTTAATTGGGAAGCTCCAGCCAACACTGTCCACCATGGGTGTCTATTACCACGACTGGCACATCACTGTCACAGGCTTCAGCATCACAGCAACCATGAGTTACCTCTGTACAGCAACACACAGACCAGTGCTATACCACCTAGAAGAATGTTTGACAGGAAGACAATTTGAACCTGGCCGAGGGCCGCAGGCTCGAGGGCCCTTTGGGCTTAAGGCCACCTCCTGGTTCAAACCCTAGGCCCAGGCTGGCTAGCCTCACTCCAAGGACAGAGCAAACCTGCACGTCAAACACATTCCTGGAAAAGCAGTCGACTCCAAAAGCTTGCCACGATTCCTGCACTCCCACCACCATGCTCCTGTTATTAGAGGAGGTTTATTTGTTGTATTTTTTGTCACATGGTAAAGCTCAGTGTCTTGAAAGCACCACATGAAAATTATGACTACATATTTGCCCATATCAGTCTTCAGTGTCTAAATTATTTTTCCTGATAAAGAAAAATTTACTTATCATTTCCTTGACCTGAAAACTAGTCAGAAAAACTGGTATTAAAATATTCCATTTGAATTGTCTTCTGCTAGATTGCTGTCTTCTCTCTCCCCCCCTTCTCTCTCATTATATTATGCTATATTTGTAGTGTTTTTTTTCTCAGACTGATAACTTTTTATTTTCATTAAATCTCTTTTTACATAAATTACATAACTTTTTACATAATTACATAAATTCTTTATCAAAAATTCAAACATTTTCCTTACCAGAGGCTCTGGCAGAAGGAAGCCATATTCTTCAGAAATGTGAAATCTTCTTAAAGATAATGGCAGTGTTCTCTTCAATTCCTGCGGTTGAGTCTCCATTATTTTGTTTGAAGTACCTGCACTAATGCTGCAGTAAGAAGTAGCTGCCCTAAATCTATCAAATATCCAGCTGCAGGGAGTTTTCAGTGTCCATTAGTTAAGCAGTGCCTCAGCAAAGGGCAGACCTTTGCCCTGAGGTAGAATTTCAGGCTGCCCTGGACTCTCTAGCACAGGGTCAAATAAACAATTAAAGACTGCTGATTAAAACAAATGGACAAACAAAACCACTTCAGAAAATATCCTTCCTTCCATTTCATATATCTATAAAATACAAGTTTGAATGGAAATCCAGAGACAGAGTTGTTTCATTTGGAAAAAAATGAAATGGGCCAGACATTCAATCGTGACTGAGCACTAAATACTCTTTCAGTAACCTTCTCCATAATAAAGGATGACAAGAGGGTCTTTAATCTGAAGAAGGAGCCTACGAAAACCAGAAGTTACTGTCAGTAGTTATTTCAGTGACGGGAGTGGAGTCAGGTAGGGAGGATGACCTTGAATATGTGTTGAGGTCTCAGTAGGATTTTGCATATGTATAGTTTGAAAATGTACTTTAAAATTCTGAATATTTTAGTTTTAGAAGTTTTAACTATTGTTTTGAAAGCTCTCATTACATTAAGGGAAGAAGCATTACTTTAAACACAAAACAAAACAAAATAAAAAATAAAAACCACCAAAACCAAAAATGAGAAAGTATACTAATAAACCTGAGAATAGCCTGACCATATAGTTTGATTCAACCTTCTTACCAAGACATTTTTGAAGATCTATCACAGAAATAAGGTACTACCACCTCCACCTTATGAATTAATAAAATGAGATTAATAAATTTGTACAGTATCAACTCTCCTGTTAACAAAGTCAGGACTAGAACTAAGGTATGTTGAATTCCAAACCATTGCTCTGTTTGCCAGATTGCCAGGTATCTGTCTATTGGGCAACCAAGAGTTCACTTCACATTAGTGTTCAGATCAGCATAACTAATGCTAGCTAGGTAATAGACATGTACTGTGGAAATTCTGAATACTTTATCTTTTGCCTACTGAATGAAGCCTTTTGCCTAGGAAGTAAAAAAAATCTGTTTTAAAACCAATATTGATAATAAATATTTTCTTTTTTTTTCAATTTACAATAAATATACAAACAGAAAAGGTTGTGGTAACCCTTGACAATTCCCATGGAGGTTTCAGCCTCCTAAATGTAATCGTTCAAATTTAATCACCCTCCTATCCTTCCATCTTAGGTGAAAAGATAATACAGGTGTAATTTTTTTTCTTCTTTTTTTGGTTCAGGTATGTTATTGCTATCTTTATCCATTCTTATTGAAATTTTTAAGGAATTTACCGCAAAATCATAAAACTGTAATTGAAAGTGGCACTATAGGATAAACTAACTCAAAACTCGGTGTAAACATATCAGAAATTGGAGATTTATGGAAGTGAAATGATATGCCAAATGTCTTCCTGGGAGTTGGCGTCAGAACTGGACTAGACTATTGACGACGTACTGTTTCTCAGTCTGGGACTTACCTACTGTCAGCTTGAGCTAGTCCTACCTGAGCCTGAAGCTAGACTCAATCACCTTTAGCTCTGTGACCTTGGACAAGGGCCTTAAGTTGACTGTGTTTCCACATGCTGTTGCTCTTGTGTGCGGTACAGTCAGAAATGACCCATAGTTGACCCTCTGACGCCTACTCATAGCGACCCTATGATTGAATCCTTGACACTTGTGTGTACGACTTTCATCGTCTCTCCAGGTTCATAGGCTTTCCCAAGCAAAGCTATTTTGTAAGTGCATGCCACTCCTGCTTCCAAGCTTGTTTTAATCGGGGAGCTCCACCAAACACTGCCCACCATGGGTAACCATTATCGCATTTGACACATCAGTGTCACAGTGTTCAGCTTCACAGCGACCACGAGTTACCGCAGTTAATCATACAGGAGGAAATTACCCATCCATCTCCTGTGGAGCAATTGGTGGCCTGGAACCATATGCCTTCAAGATTGCTGCACAGCTTCTAACCCTAGACCATCAGAGCTCTGTTTTCACAGAGAAATATTTAGCTTTTAGGAACATTGCAGTAGATAAACTGTATTTTCACATAGAAATATAAACATTTATTTTTTAATAAGCATTGTGGTAAATAGTGAGAAACCATAAGTGAAACACCAAGAACATAACGGTACAGGATTTTCTAATGTTCTTTTACTTCTTTCTGGAAATAATCTTAGTAACATAGATTTCAGGCTCTCTTTCCTATCATTTTGACTGTATCACTGATGCTCTAGCCATCACTTACTTTTCTGTTTCATTTGCAAGTATGTAAATATGCATAGAGTTGTGACAATTTTTTTACCTATGATCTTTCCTTCAATATTCTCACTTATTTCCATATAACCTTAACTATCCCAAGCTTTCTAAAATGAAATATTCAATCTTGACCTTTCTTGACCCCAAGGTTCAAACCCATGTTACTCATGGATCAAGGAACAGCGCAGGTCCTGTTATAAAAAATATTGAAGTGCACCTCAGAGCAACTAAAATCAAATTCAAATGCTTTCATCTGACAACCCTGGTCTCGCTGCACCAGGACCTCGGCCCATGTCCTCTGTTCTGAAATAATTGTATTTTGATACTTTTGTCTTTTCATATAATATTTCCTCTTTCCAAAATACTTTCTCAACAATCCCTACCACAGGTCTAACCTCCACTTAGCTGTTAAAACACAGTTCAAATGCTAATACTTTCATAAACTTTTTTAGAATTGTCCTTAATGTTACCTCTCTTGCTGCCCTTTTAGAGCCATTTTGCACAACTATCACTTCACATTTCAAGTTCTGCATTGTTATCACAGATATGTTTACCTCATCTTTCCTGTCAGGCTACTTTGCAGTTTTTGGTTTTAATTCTGTAATCTGATGGCTAATACTAAATAAAAATTCATTCCCGTGGAGTAGATTCCAACTTGTAATAGCTGTGTTATTGCTGTTATCATTACGTACCATTGAGTGGGAACTAACTCATAGCTGACTCTTCAGCAGGTTTTCAGAAGCTATGAATCCCACAGGAGACTGCCCATCTTTCTCTCATGGAGTGGTTAGAAGCTAACACTGTGCCTTTTGGGTGGTCTGCACAACTCCTTACCACTCAGTAACCAGAGCTCCCTAGTGACTCGACAGGACAGAGTAAAACTACCTCAGAGGATTTTCAAGACCATCTATCTTTGAAAGGCCTATAATTATATCCTGTACCACAGAGCAACTAATGGATTAGAACTACTAAACTTCCAATTTATAGTCAAGTACTTTAACTCACTGTGCCACCAGCCTTCCTTTCTAGTGAGTATTTGTTTTATCAAAGCTCTTTCAGAGTCTCCTTATGAATCATAAACTTTTAGAATGATCACCTTGATTTAGTCAAGAAGAACCCTGTACTGGGAAATCCCAGCCCCCCAAACTCCCCTTATGTCTATAGCTCAAAGACCACATTCTCCCTGGAGGACAGCCTGAGATCTTTCTTATTTACCAAGGAGGAGTGAGTGGGCAAGATAATGTCCAGAAATTTTCTCTTCTAATGGCAAAGCTTGGCATTTTTGAGCCTAGGCACTGTAGTCAGCTTTTTCCACAAATCCGAACAGTAACAGGACACAATGCAGTTCAGTTTTTCTTAGACTGGGATTATTGTTAGTGGCTACTAAGTTCACTTTCAGGACAAAAAACTTTCAGACAAAAAACTCCCAGTCCTAAACCATTTTCGTGATTCTAAGTGTTTGAATCCATTGTTGTGCCTCTCTGGGGTAGAATATTATGGTCTTATTGAACTAGATCGAGGTTGTTGAGAAAATAAAGAACATTTTTTCCACAAATAAAACTTGCTGGTAGCACTATGGCATATACATAGTTTCTGTTTCAAAATTACTAGTCTGATATCTAAATGGTCAAAAGTAATGAACCCAAACAGTACAGTGAGATCATTCTCATACAGCTCATTAATTGCTTCTTTGTACCTAAATACAATGAAGACTTTCTGGTCCTTTTCTTAATTGATTATTCAGGCATTTGGTATTACATCCTACTTCTACTCCCCCCCCCCGTTATACTTTATTCTCTTCCTGTCCTCTTTGATGCATAGCAAGTTATTGCAAAGACCATGGTTGATTTAGGTACTATTGTTATTTCCTTACTTGATTTGAGAACATGGAAGTTCAGAAATACCAAGTAAAAGCCTAAGGCCATGCATTTTGAAAGTGATAGACAAGAGTCAAGTCCTGACTTTAGAGCCAGCATTCCTCACCACACAACCTCCTGTCTTTTCTTTCCTGGTATTCTTGTTACAGTTGATGCTGATGTTCTTCATAATTCAAACTTGAATTCCCTGTCTTCTCACTGAATACATACTCCTTGGATGATCTTATTAATTCAAGTCATCTTGTCAGTCCTACTGCCTCAGTGTTTCTAATGTCTCTGATCCATGATCACTGCTTTCAATTACTTGCCATTTTCTATTGGAATATTACTCATAATAACCTTCTAACTGGTTACCTTCTCTCTACTTCAGATCTAACCCCACTAGTCTTTCTTATCATTTCAGACTGATTTATTTTAAAAGTTTCTTACCTGGTCACACTGCCTTTAGTATTATTACTTCTCATATTACCAGACTCCTCTTTATTTTTTTCTTAACTGCTGCTTGAATGATTGTCCAAATATATAAAAATAATAATAACTCTGCTTAGTTCCAGTCCATACTTTGTTTTCAGAATAAATGAAAACTATTTTTTTTGCATGGCCTTTAAAGGCAATCATGATTTGGATACCATCTTCCTATCCAAACCTCCCTCTCACTACCTTACGTACACTTCATATTCTTTTTATTTTTCAGTAATGTTAAACAATGAGTACATTTTCCAGTAGATCATGCTTATACTTCTGTGTTTTTACTTTCTTAATTTGTGGGTTGTTTTGGTT